GGAGTAATATTTTTTATATTCGAATAAATTTAATTGAATATGTAATTTTAAAATTGAATAAAATCTTAAAATTCAATAGTACTTTATTTGTTATATCGAAACATCAAAATGTTTTCAACAGTTTGGGAATCTTAGTAGGGCACTTGGGGTAGCTTAGAGAGTATTTTTCCTTCCCAAAGATGGTAATTTTGGGTTTGTGTATCGGTAATGGAAGAACAATACCGATATTGTTTCTTACGAAGAGCCAATTAAAGGGATTTTGGGTTAAAAGTATCAGTATTCAATCATTGAGTATCAATACCGTGGGTCTGGTTTTGATACTCACAGGAGGGTATCGAGACCGAGATTTCAGTAGTTAATTTTAGTATCGATCCTCATAGAAGTATCGATATCGAGGGTAAAGTATCGATACCGAGGTATTTTTCAAAACATTGAAGCCAAATTTGATATTGATACCCTAGTTCGGGAGTATCAATACTCGGTTTGAAAGTATCGATATTACCCTCCCCTCCAGTTAAAAATAGCCGTAGAATATCGATACCCAAGGGGCGAGTATCGATACTCAAGAGTTAGTATCGATACCAAGAGGCCTAGTATCGATACCATCATACATTTTGGAGCACGAAATCTAAGGGATTTAGAAGAAGTATTGAGGTATCCAAGAACACCATAATTACTCCCAAATAAAACTTAAGTGAGAACCATGATAACATTTAATTGCAACTAGAAACAATATCAGCTAGGATAACATAAAACTAGCTTTGTTTGATGCTCGAAAAAATAATCAGGACACCCGAGTCACTTTAGCATAGGACATTAGTCTCAAGGTATATAATATTTGGATATATCTAAGTGTGTGAGGCACTTTAATGTTTAACTAGTGCGTGAGGCACTCTGATGACTAACTATGGCGCAAGGCCTGAACACTCGCAAGGGGCGGATTACTCGGGTGTTGTATCCGATGTAGAGGTTTTAGATCTCACCCTAGGTAGACTAGAGGGGTGTGCATCCCGATATGTGTAATCCTCCAACCACGCCATGATGTCTACCCCAGTGTATTGTGAATATACGAGTATATTCATTTTTTTTATTGCACTCCATAGCATGAGCATTCATTGGACACTTATAGTATGACTTAGTTGCTAGTATGACACTGAGCTAGTGAGTTCGACGTTCAGAATTTGTTTATGTGCGTAGGTTCTTAGGAGGAACACTTGAGGAGCCTATCGCGCAACATACGTTCCAGATAGTCCGAGTAGCAGGGCACATCTTGAGTCTTTTTCTCAGAGGGTATGTATTATTCCTAAACATTCTTTTACTTGAGTAGTAATTTTATTTTAAATACTCGGTTGTATTATTTTCAAATACTTATTTTGGGAGCTCCCTGATGTAAACTCTCTATATATTTATGTTTGATTTACTTCACTTTGAATGGTTTTAAATTGACGATTTACAAAGTATTTGAATAATTGTTTTTAGGTCAATCACTCTAATGGTCCCGTGTGATATTTTAATCGTACGAATTGATGTCATACTGAATTAGGATGTTACAGAATTACCTTCTTTTTCCTCGCATAACAAACTAGATAGTTTCAAGATACAGTAAGATTTTAGGGTTTCGCCCTCCTAAATGATGATTTACTAATTGTATGATGAACCATTGCAAATTACTTTCCAGGAAAAAGGCGATACCGTAACTTATATTGTTACAGAACAGAAGATTGGAATAGTTTCAAGAAACAGAATGCTAAGCCTTCTAATGTTCTCTTTGCCTCGATAGCAATTGTTATATGACATTTTTTGTATTACGCCGGAAAAAATTAACGTCGTATATAATTGAAGGATGTGGAAAAAGGTAATAGTTTAGCGTGACTGGAAATATTAAATTATATGCAATATATTGGCTTGTCACTATTTTAAAATATTAAAATGGTATAACCGGAAAATCTATCTTACATGTTAAAAGCAAAAAAACAAAATGTTATAAAGTGGAATTGAAAAAATTATCAATGTAGTAACATAACAAAATAAGTTATAAACGATAAGAAAATAAATTATAAACAGTAAACGTTACAAATATTATTAACATTTTAGGTTACGCCTAAAATGTTACCAGAGTTTAAGAAAATAAGTTAAAACTAAAAATATTATGAATATATATAATAAATACGGTTGCACCTAAAAATGTCATGGTTCACTAAAAAATAAGGTGCGATCTGGATGTTAATATTTTTATTAATAAAATGGGTTACGCCTAATAATACCATAGTTCACTAAGAAATAAATTACGATTTGGAATGTTAATATTTTTATTAATAAAATAAGTTCCGCCAAAAAATATTATAATTCTTAAGAAAATATGTTGTGATATGAAATATTAATATTTTTATTATAAATAATTTGAAGTATGAATATTTTTCTACAAATATTAATACTTTTAATTTTTTTTTAAAACATGTAAAATAAGAAGGCTGTCGCACTCTATTAGATCTTCGGTGTCGTGTAATAACTTTGTACGAATAATTTGTTGGACTAAGCTGTGGCCCGTGGGAAGTTGGAACCCAACGCCCCATTTTCAAGCCCTCATTGTCTGTCTATAATAAATAGCTCCATCGGTTATACCATTCTCAAGCCCTCCTTGTCCAGATTCTTTATTCCAAAAGAAAAAAGAAAACCCTATCCCCAATTATTTATTCTTTATGGCAACAGATGCTACAACAACAAATTTCCACACTCCGGACTTCCGACCGGTGCCGCAGCCACCGGATTTCCATCCGGAAATAAAGGTGACTCCCCACGACGGGCTCCGCTTTTGGCAGTTCATGATTGCCGGCTCCATCGCCGGATCAGTTGAGCATATGGCAATGTTCCCTGTTGATACCGTCAAGACCCATATGCAAGCCCTCGGCTCTTGCCCCATCAAGTCGGTGAGCGTACGTCACGCGCTCCGTTCTGTCCTCAAATCCGAAGGAGTCCGGGGCTTATACCGGGGAATCGGGGCCATGGGATTGGGGGCCGGTCCGGCCCATGCCGTCTACTTCTCTATCTACGAAGTTTGCAAGAAGAATTTTTCGGGTGGGAACCCGAATAACTCGGCGGCCCATGCAGTTTCGGGTGTTTTCGCGACGTTAGCAAGCGACGCCGTTTTTACGCCTATGGATATGGTGAAGCAGAGGTTACAGTTGGGTAACGGTGTTGCTTATAGAGGGGTATTGGATTGTGTTAAGAAAGTTTTTGAAGAGGAAGGTTTTGGGGCGTTTTATGCTTCCTACAGGACGACGGTGGTTATGAATGCACCTTTTACGGCTGTTCATTTTGCAACTTACGAGGCATCAAAAAGGGGTTTGATTCAGATTTCACCAGAGAGTGCGAGTGATGAGCGGGTGATCGTCCACGCCACGGCTGGAGCTCTTGCTGGAGCATCTGCAGCGGTTGTCACTACACCACTTGATGTAGTTAAAACTCAGTTGCAGTGTCAGGTAATTCAAGCGTTGCCTCTGCCTTTTTCTTGTTTGTTGGATTCTGCTGCTGCTAGCTAGCGAGCTAGCTATATTAGGAAAATTTGGTTAGTGGGATGTCGTAATTGATTACTTTCATACAATCATAGTGAATGGGATCCCCATATCTTATTCTTTTCCATATTTAACATTGTTAATTTGCTGCATCATATCATCTTGTATCTACTGGCCATCAACATTTTGACTGTTATGGGTTGGAATGAACAGCATCCAGTCTTTAGTACCGCAACACCTTGAATTTCAATACCTTTAAATCAACATCATACTGAACCATTTTCATCTATATCTGCGTACTTTCCTTTATACGTTGAAACACTTGTATTTGAAGTACTTGCCGGTGGTCGGTTTCTTGGTTCAGCTTGTTTCGCTTTTAGTTTCACATTGTTGGTTTTTGAAATCCATTAAGATTTACCTCTGTGTAATTGCTATAATTATGCATCTTGCTCTTATTATTGTTATTAAAAAAATGCATCGCAGGGTGTATGCGGATGTGATAGATTTAAGAGTACTGCTATTATGGACGTAACCAAAACAATAGTGCAAAAAGATGGCTACAAGGGCCTCATGAGGGGATGGATTCCTCGAGTTCTCTTCCATGCTCCTGCTGCTGCAATCTGCTGGTCCACCTATGAAGCTGCAAAATCTTTCTTCCAACAACCCAATTGCTTCCCTGAAAGTGGCACTATCACCTGAAGTGTCATGAGGAATTGTGCCAATGTATACAGACGCGGCAAGATGCACGCCTCAAGTGATGGTTGGAAAGTTTTGCTTCACACAATGTGCGGGTAAGCAGGACACATACTTACAGGCAAATCTATAGTTTGAAGCGATATCCATAGAGTATATCCAATAAATAAATGTTGAATCATTTAGCCACGAATCCATATTACTTTTGCATTTGGTTTCATGACTAAGAAATTTAAAGTTTCATTTTTACCCCCAAAGATTCAAGTGCTGAAAATGTTATTTTCTTGACTCAATGTTGAAGCATAGTAGGATACCTGATCTGTTTTGACCAATTTCCCCTTGATTACTTTCAAAATTTGGATTGTATTTAAGTAACTAGTTCAGTGGGGTTTCCCGGATATATCTGATCTATTGTTGTGATTTTTATTCTTTCACGTGTTTGATGATGAGGTTAGCATGGAAAAGTCTAGCCTGACAGACAAGGATTTAGCATTTTGATAACCATTTATTGACCATTCCAATTACATATAAAAATCATTATTTAATCGTCCGATATCTTGATGTGCGGGCATCTTAAACAACTTGAATTGAGTGACATGAGATTTTTTTGTACATTCACGATCACATAGTTGCCAAGAAAAGACGGAACATATTGTTTTCTCAATAAACATAATCATAATCCAATAATGGCAGGTAAGGTAAGGTACGTGGATGTTAATTGCATCCTCCAGTTTAATATAAACCCCTAGTGTCACCGGAGCCGGCCTCCATCATTCCTGTTGTCTGGACCAGGTTCTAGCTAGCAGCGGCAGTTAAAGTTACAACCTTACCAACAATCACAGTGATATCATCTGGCTTTCCACTTGCTCCCAAAATCATAATCGTAAGGATTAACTGTGTGGCCGAACGCAAATGGGATCATTGTCAAAGTAAAAAAAGAAAAAGAAAAAGAAACAAAGGAAACCCCACCTGTTAGCTTCATCCCCAGTATTTTATTCCCAAAAGGAACATCAAAACCCTGTAAAGGAATACCATCAAGACATGCTAAATCGATTCATTAGAGGTTTTAACATAAAATATCTGACAAGTAATTTATCCTTGGATCTGGCCTCTAACGAGTAGGGAGACTCGAACCTTGAATCCATGGTGTGATTGCTTGCCAGGTTAGCCAATGCCTTTGCTACCATTACAAATTGATTATGCAATTTAGTCCCACTGTTACTCTTATAGAGTCTGAGGATGTGATACTAAATTGTATTGGTCTTTAAATAGGTGTAGTTTTTACAAACATGTTAAAACTATTGTGTCGGTGTTTGTTTAATGTTTGGAAATAATGTAAACTTAACATGAATAAATATATATTCATTTAAACTTCGATTCATTTACCATCCTACTTAAGCAGACAGCAGTAACTAAAAAGGAACACATACCGGCGCCCACTACATCGCTATGTATGGCCAACGTGGAAATGATTTCTCTATCGAAAACATTGTCAAAAAGCCCATCGGAGCCCATTACAATGGTGTCTCCTTCCACTAATTCAACACTGCTAACCTGTTTTTACAGGAAATACAAGAAACTAGCAACGAGTTTAAGTTGTAAGCTTCAGTAATTGTACCTTGCAAACTGAACTTGTCTTGACATGGTCACTTGATTTTGGTTTTTGTACAAAACAGCTGCAACTGATAGTATAAATGACAAATAGAATTGACAGATAAACTCAGCATTCGTTTATTACCGCGGCATCAGGATGCTTTTGGCCAATTAACTCCAAGCTCAATTGATATGGGCAGTCGAAGTAATGTTCATGTGGAGTGGTAGAAAAGATTATCTGCCATGTAGTTAATAACATCACTAATTCTTGCCCATAATAAGATTGAGAACCAACTCCCAGAAGAAACACAGTATTTGGCATCTACCTTTGCGGATAACTCTTAATCCACAATCACCTACACTGGCAACCTTCATCATTCCATTCCTCTGTAGCATCACAACGATACTACAAATCAATCGGAAAATCAAAGTTGATGACAGTACCATGATGTGTGGAACGATGTAGGAAGGGAAGACATCCAGAGAACACTATAAACTTAACGCAGTAGCCGAGCCTTTAGAGGAAGTAGCAGCATATGCTTTCCTTATGAGGATCCGGGGATCGTAATTAACCTGGTGAATGATATGGCCACAACTAGAAGAAACAATGTGCAAAATTTTAGTCAGGACCAACCAAGAATGGATGGCAATTTGATTTCATTTCCAAAAATGGGTAAGATTCATCTTCCACAGTAAATTGTTAGTTCCAAACTGCCTGCTTGTTGTATCATTTTCATTCTATTTATGAAGAAGGCACCAACTTCAATTCATATTTATTATGACCGGTATCAATCGACGGCATGCTCAACAAATTGGGAGGAAAGGGAAAAAGGAGCATCAAAGGAAACCAGCAGAACCTGCAACTGGATGATACAAACTGCCCATAGTAAGAACCTTTCTTCGCCAACGAGCTTGTACATTTTGATGGTTGTCTGGCAGAAAAATAAAACCCAAATCAGTAACAAAAATTATGCGTTCGACTTCATAGAGAGATATGCCTTTAAAAGAATGATAGAATTTAAAAAACAAGAAAACACGAACTTGTTGCTGCTTTACACAGGAATACTCTCGAACATAACAGTTGAAAAGCCCCATCATTAGTTCCAAATTGTTTGTGAATTTCCCACACGCATGCTCGTAACAGCTAGTAGCCAACTCCACTGAAAATTACCAAAAATATCATATAAAAAGATACTTATAAGCAACTGAAAAACTACGTGGAACACAATTAATGAGTCAATCGATTTAGCCGGGGGAAAAAAAGAAAACTAACGGTGATCGAGTCGTTGGAAAACAATTTGCACAGTACTAAGAGTGCGATCATCCATTGACAAAGACTCATTCTTATACAAAAGCTCTTTCGCATTTAAACAAACAGACAGTGCTTCATCGAGTTTTCCCATCCTTTCCAATATAAAAGCTTTTAGAGCCTGCAAATAATCAAATCGGAAAACTATGACTACTCGTATAAGCTAAAGAAGAGATTATACTGTGAAAGAAGATGCTTAAACCGATTAAAAACGTACAAGAGCGTAAGGAGAATTGGGATGCTTGGAGAGGAGAGTGGTAGTGATTTTGAGAGCATTTTTGAACTGTCGAGAATCGATGGCGTCCCAAATGGGTCGAACCCGACGCTCCGGAATTCCACCAGCTAAACCAAACTTGGACGCCATATTATGCTCAATTTCGGGGAGTTGCTATCAAATATTTGGATATGACTATCCCTTACTCTATTCCTGACTCTGTCTCGTTGCCAGCAAGCGTATAATGAAGGAAAGGTATTGAAGTGAGAATGTGAGGAACCGAAAACCTAATCAGCGTGTTTGGATGCAGGTTTAAAGTGTTGGTTTTTACAAGGTCTGATCAAAACCAAGCTACTCTAGAGTTTGGATTTCGCACTTTACGTTTAACGTGCGTTTGATTCACGGAAGATAAAATTATCAGTGAAAATATAAGATTATTAAGGAATAAGATTACTAGAAATGTTATATTTTGTATTTAGTTGATTTAGCATGAATATAACATTATCATGTTTAATTAAAAGAATAAAAGATTATTAGAATATATATTTAACTAAATTGTCCTTATTATATATTTATTTTTTTAATAAATTAGAAAATATTTATATATTTTCTTTTAAAAAATTTAAATTCATAAATATATATATATATATATTTTTTAAAAAAGTGAAAATATAAAAAGGTTAAATGAAAGGGTAAAATTTTATTTTAACCCCTGAATTTCATATAAAATTTTAATTAGATTTTTTTTTGTAAATCTAAAATAGTTTAAGGATAAATTTGTAATTTAATCTTCGTAGAATTTTTATTATTCAATGACAGAAGAATGATATTTTTGGAAAAAAAAAACTAAGGGTATTTTAGTCTAAAATGCCAGTAAACCAATAATACATAAGGAAATGGTAATCCAACAATACCTAAGGAAAAGGAGGTAATAATATTTACGGTAATACCCCAAAAAATCTACTATTGATAATAAAATATTATCGGGAATGAGCCCGACCAACCAAATATGGGAATGTGGATTCCATTCCCATGGAAATCTCACATTCCTTGATCCAAACACCTCTAGGGTGCGTTTGGTTAACGGAATGTAAGATTATCAGGGAATAAGATTACTGAGAATATTATATTTTATGTTTGGTTGGTTTAGAAGGAATGTAAGATTACCGTATTTGGTTAAAGGAATAAAATATTATTGGAATGTATATTTGACCAAATTGTCCTTATCATATATTTATTTTTTAACAAGTTAGAAAATATTTATATATTTTATTTAAAAAATTTAAATTCATAAAATATATATATATATATATTTAAAAAATTGAAAATATAAAAATGTTTAATGAAATGGTAAAATTTTATTTTAACCCCTGAACTTCATATAAAATTTTAATTATAGATTTTTTTATAAATCTAAAATAGTTTAAGGATAAATTTATAATTTAACCTCCGTAGAATTTTTATTATTCAATGACAGAATAAGGATATTTTTGAAAGAAAAAAAATTAAGGGCATTTTAGTCCAAAACGCTGGTAATCCAACATTACCTAAGGAAATGAAGGTAATAACATTCCCGATAATATACCCAAAAAATTTACTATTGGTAATAAAACATTATCGGAAACGAGATTCCCGACCAACCAAATATAAGAATGTGGATTCTATTCTTATGAAAATCACACATTCCTTCATCCAAACACTCTCTTATGGTCTGAGTTAAATCCAATAACCTAATCAAACTCAATCCAACAGAATTTTACATTTTGGGATTCGAATCTGATGCCTGAGCCCGGCGACTCATCCTTATCTATTTTCTTTGTTAATAGTACTAGTTTTATTTTTTTGACAAGTACACTACATTTGGAGAATAATTTAAATATAAAATATTTTAAAAAATTAAAAATAAAACTATAATTTAATTGAAGTATAACATAAATTTAAGTGTATCATCATTTATAAACCTTTTTCCCCTTTATGACTTTATTTTAGGTAATCAATTTAAGGGTGAAGTACACAAATGTGTCCCGAATATATGTTGTTATTTTATTAAGTTCTATGATTATTAAAAATTATGATCCTTGAATCAGAGTTTAAGGCAATCTCCAACCCTCATCTCTATTCTAAAGCATCTCTATCTCTACTTTAGAGATGAAACAATAATTCATCTCCAACACTATCTCTACATTATCACAAACTCTACTTTATTCACAATATTTAACTATTATAATATTGATTTTGCATATATAAAATAAAACATATACATTTCTAATAAATATCAAAATAAAAAACATAAATAAAATATTCATAAATAACATTGCGATAATACAAATAAATAAGAAAATTAAAATTCATAATAATAATAATGCGAAAAACATAAATTACATAATTATATATTTTTATTCTCCGAATTAGAATATTCATTCCACAAATGCTCAATTAGTGTATTTCGTAGAGCAAAATGAGTATTTGCATATTTGATTTGTCTAAATCGAGTAAGGAATTCTTGAAATTGAGTCTCATCATCTTCAACAAGTTCAACATTCGGAGGCGGTGCATCTCTTTCTTCAACAATTGGAGAATTAAGATCTCGTTCATCATCGATTATCATATTATGCATTATTATGCAAGCAATCATAATATCTTTCAAATCATTTTTTGCTCCAAAAACGTGTTGGATTTGCCACAATTGCAAAACGAGTGCAGTTTCTTCACTGCCTTCAGAAAATATTTCAGATTTTGTTAACCCTTCGTTGTCTTCATTTGAAATCAATTTAATCATCGATGAAAATATTAGTACAGGTGGTTCTTCTTCCCAGCGACCATATAGTGTCAAAAAATCTAAAGCAAAAAGGAAGCAAATCGAAGAAGCCTCTATTCTTTCAAATTCCTTCAATGAATCAACTGAAAAGTTTCGGGAATCATTATCTTAAAATCTAAAGCAAAAAGGAAGCAAATCGAAGAAGCCTCTATTCTTTCAAATTCCTTCAATGAATCAACTGAAAAGTTTCGGGAATCATTATCTTTAACATGAGCACAAAGGGATCTTGCTCTTCAACTGGAAAAGGAAAAAATAGAGGCCATAAATAAAAGGTAAAAAATTGCGCAATTGAGGAGAGATTACAAGATTCTAGCGATGGATCCAGATACCATACTTGACCCCAAACGACGCCACTATTTTCGAAACGAACAACAAAAAATTCTTCGGAAACGAAAAGAAGAAGAACTGTCAACCTCTACTATTTTTAATGTGTTTGGAATGAACTTTGATGATCTTGGAGGGAGTGGAGGGGGTCTGTCTGGTTATTAGTTAAATTGTTGTGTTTGGGTTATTGGTTAAAATGTTGTTTGAGTTTTATTAGTATTTTCTATGTTTTATGTTTCAAAAAATTAGAATGTTTATTTATCTAATTCCAATGTATTTTTATCTATCTTGCAATTTAATCTACTTTAATCTAATTTAATCATTAAAAAAATTCTATGTTTTTATGCTTGTTGTATTTTTATGTTTCAAAAAATTAATATGTTTATGTATCTAATTTCAATGTATTTTTATCTATCTTGCAATCTACTTCAATCTAATTTAATCTACTTTAATCTAATTTAATCATTAATTTTTTTTTGTAGCGCAGCTACAGTAACACGTTATATGTAGAGTGAAACTGCTTGCCACGCTAAACTGGCGCTCATCTTTGGCGCAGCATTGGAGCTCCAAAATGAAGATTTTACTCCACTATGGCGCTGGGTTGGAGATGCTCTAAGCTAGGATCAAACATTGGAAGTGGTTAATTTTCTTTACAATGAAAAAACAAGGTTCAATAAAGTATTTTAATATCCAAATAGAGATGAAAATATCTTATTTAATTAATACTTAAACTAAAAAGGATCTAAAACATTATTAAACTAAAAAATTTGGGAGGGGCAACACCCCTCCCACCCTCCTTAATAGCTTCATCCTGTCTTCAACTATATGGTGATATTTTGTTGAGTATCCTAGCTATTAAAAGTTACAAAAGGGTCACTTGACCATTCATATGTTATAAATTCATCATTTTTTATTAAAAAAATAGTGATCGTCTAAGTTGGACGTTACTCTGTTAACTGGGATATAATAAAATATTATCTCAAAATTGTTTGAGTTGTATTTTATATATCAACTCTCTGTTTATATTATATCGTCAAACTAGTGCTTAAAACATTATGTTGTTGAGTCAGTCCTTGAAAGCAACAACAATGTTAGTAGATATCATTAAAATATAATAGAGTCGTCTCCGATATTTTTGGGACCCTAAACAAAAATTGGAAAATAAATTCTTATAAAACGAAAGCATATTCGAATTACTTTGAATAATTAATTTAATATTTAATTAATAAACTATAGAAAAATAATTAATCTTATCAAGCGTATTATAGAATACTAGTTAAAATATTTAATAAATTGAAGAATATAATCTGAAAAATAAAAAATATATTTATATTTAATTTGAAATTGAATATTTTAATGAGAAATTGAGGATGTTATATTATCAACTTGTAATTTTTTGTATTATTCGTGTAATTGTTTGTTAAAATATTTTAATATCAAATTGTTTTAAATATACAAAACGGTTTTTAAATTGTATTGTATTCTCTTTTAGTAGTTAGTTCTACCCTTCTTCTATGTCATTACTTTTACAAAAAATAATAATTCTATTTTATTTTAAAAAAAATACTAAACCTGATCAATTCTACTCATAAGGGAGGAAAATGTGGACTTTAAATGAATGAAGCGGGGTGCTCTTAATGGGTTTATAACTCATGATTTAAAGAGGGGAAGGGATACTCTAGAGGATGGAAGGGAAGTGCTCCTAATAAGTCTAGAATCCATAACATAAGGAAATATGGGAGAACAAAAATAAACAGCTTAATTCACTGGCCAAATATGCTTGCTCTTTTATTTTATTCATTTGAGTGTATGAATTTAAGGGTGTAAATGAACCGAGCTTGAACGAACAAAGGTTTCGTTCGTTTGTTTAGTTTTGAAGATGTTCATGTTCAGTTTGTGTTTATTTAAATTTTCAGTATCAAGTTCGTGTTCGTTTATTTATTGTTTGCGAACATGTTCGTTTTGTGAATGTGTTCACGAATGTGTTCACGAACGTGCTCATCTAGCGTTCACAAACATGTTCGTTTAATATTAATATAGTGTTCATTTATCATTCGTTTATTATACGTTCAATTTTAAATTTTATCATATCGTTTGCAAGCTAAAGAAAATGATAAAATTAAGCCACTAGTTCTTAAACTTTTTAAAATTTGCAATTTAA